AAGCTTGGGGGGCGGCATGGAAAGTAAGAGACAATGGTGATTGGTTGTCGAATGGATCTGGGATGTGGATTGGCAAAAGTGAGTGGCCGACGTCAAGGTTGTCTTCAGCGAACCAGTGGCTGGCGTCAGGCCCGGGGTTGACAACCCCGTGAAATTTGGCTTACGTCACACCAGGGCCAACCCGTGGCTTTCGTCACGGTGGCGCGAGCCGGGCTCACGCCACCGTTTTTCCCGCAGTGTGGGCGTCTTCTAATGGTTAGGAAATCTCGTTGTGGTGTAAGCAGGTAAGCCCCGTGAAAATGCCGGTTCGATTCCGGCCGCCCACAAATGTTTTTGTAGAAGAGAGATTATCTGCACAGCAGGTGCTGCGGGGTGCTAGGGTAGGTTTGTTGTTGTAGGTGGGATGTTGTTGATGCGAATAGTGAGATGAGATGGTAGTTATGATGTGATGATATGTGTGTGTTGTGTTGTCACATGTTCCTCGATCCAGCCCGACGCGCCCACTCTCTCCGTTTTGCTTGCCGGGTTGTGTTGTTATCAGAAGCGCGCCAACGAGGGAAAAGATAACCATATTGGTTGGATTAATTTCAGCAGCAAGCAAACTTAAATATTTAATTTAAATAATCGAATTTAAATAGTTTAGTTCCTTGTCCCGCCACTTTCACATCAAACCATCCATTTCGTCACACCTCCCTCGGTCTCAATTTCTATCCCGAACCAAAACACTTCACTTCTTCAACCCACACTCCATTGTTCATCCTCAATATAATACCTACTTATCCACCTCATCAACTTCAACATGGGCCGAGCAATGAAGATTTTTTACAACCCCGTCCGTCGGTCGCATCAAGCTCAGCCGGATCAGCCCTCAACTTCACCAACCGAGTATAAGACTCAACCCCGCCTCAACGGTCCTTACCTTGCATCTGCCCCCTGGCGCCGACAGAATGGTACTCGGGTCTCCGCTTCGACTTCTACCTCTACCTCAGTGCCTGAACAACTTCACGAACACACCAGCACCAGAAACCGTACGCCTTCGTTGGCCGAAAATGTTGCTGCGGAGGCAGAAGCAGAGGCTGAAGATTCGGACGTATTGAAGAGGTACTCGGAAGCACCGTTCGATTTGGATGAGGATTGTGATGGTTTGTCCACTTCTCATTTTCTTCCTTATTTTGAAATCCTCAAGCCCTACTTTTTCTTGTCGTTCCTCTTTTTTTTTTTTTTCTTCCCCTTTCTATTGCACCCCCTTTTTGTGTTAATCTTGCGTCACACAGTTTATACACATCTCAGTGAAGCAGTTCGAGTTTGAGTAGTAGTAATAGTAGTAGTACCTGACAAAAATGTCGAAGTAGGTTCATGACCAGCTTTGAAAGGGGTGTAAGACTGACCGTAGACCTTGTTCTTATCCTCTTGTGTCTAGACGCTATCGAAGAGTACTTCCTCACACCTTCGCAAGTGGCCGAACGGGCGCATTTGGCAGCAGAACAGGCTTATTCGGCGCTTCAACGGGCTTATTCAGCTGCCGACAGCAGACTCACGGATGCCAACTCGGAGGTTGCTGAACTGGCTCTGTTGGCCGCGCAGATGGCCGAGCAGAGGCGAGTAGTTTCAACGATGGGGCGAGCGAACGAGCAGAGGCGGGAGGCGTCGGATATGGGACTGTTGGCGGAGCAGAGATCCGCAACTGCAGAATTGGCGCTTGCTCGACGTGCCCTTGCTCAAGCCGAACAAGAACGTAATTCACCCACTGCTACAAATTTGATTCTTTCTACAACTCCTCGTCCCCATACGGCGTATGTTCAGCTTTCTTTCATCCATTTGTCCTTCTGCTTCTCATATTCGGTCTTTTTATATCGCTGACTCTTTTTTTTCTTTTTCCTCTTCCTCCTTAGTGAACAGGTAGACTTGATCTCCACCTCTCTACGCTCGCTTGCCGGTGCGCCTCGCCTTACTCACCGCCAGCCGCCGCCTGGGATGGACTCACCTCACCTAAGAGTGCCGGATATAGATTGGTCAGACCCCCTCTCCACTGCTCGCGTCCGTCTCTCGGCTATCCCTATCAACACCACCACCACTACCACCCTTCCTACCGACCGCGCTCGCTCACGTGTGCCCTCTATGACCAATGACGAAGATGTGTCTTTGCCGCCGTTCCTCGGCGCCACCTATTCCGTCGAGACTGATGGAAACACGATGGAATGGGATCTTGAGCCCGAGTTCTAATCTTTGCCACTCCAATCTTGAATGCCCTTCACTACCCTCTGTGCATACATATATATAAAATTCCCTTCTGTTTCACCTTACCACCAAAAAAATCACCGCGGAGTAACATGATTGGTCTCGCGTGGCCTCCATCTCTCTTTTTCCCTCTGGGTCTTGTTTTTCATTTCATTCTTGTCGTTGTTTTAGTTTGGTGTTATCATGGTCTTGAGCTAAGAGAACTTTGGTATACTGTACACACTATCAATTTGCTGTTGTCATTGTACATCAGAAAAAGGTCGATGATGAGGTAATGTGAGGGTTGTCATGTAATTCATGAAGAGTAATGTGATGAAAGCTTCTTGATTTCCCTTGAATTTCTTTAAATTCTTCATGATTTTCAGATGCAACAAGAAGATGACAACAGGAACTGCCAAATACTTTACCTCTGCATGGAACATCTGCAATTAGTTGGTTAATAAAAAGTCACGCGTCTGGACCTTGGGCAATTGTGCGCCTTCAGAAGCTTTTTTAATAAATGTCATGAAGCTGGTGGGCGGCCCAACCAGGGCCGTCCACGGTCGGTCGAGGACGGATCTTCGGTCACAAGTGTCTGACTTGAATAAGTTTCGCCGGTGTCTATTTCGTTCCAGGTCGAGCTGACATCGACCACAATTAATTCAAATCCGAAGACAATTTTTTCTTTTGAACGTATATCAATATATTAATGTGACACCGACAAGCAAACTTATGAAATTCGTCGTATACTCAACAAGCTGATGAGGTTCGGTCTGTCGTGGGCAGGAGAACTGGCGTATCGGACGGTGACCTACCGTTTCATTCTCTTTCCTCACCCTCCAAAACTTCGATCGGCTCTCTGGAACCGGTCTAAGAGAAGTCTAAACATGAGCTCACAGACCAGCCCCAATGAGTTCCCATTTGAACCTACCTCAGTTGATTCGATCCCACAAGTCAGTATGATCTTCGGCTGAAGTTGCAGCGTATTAAGAGGTAGATGGTCCGTTTCACCTGAGCTCGTTTGCATTTTATAATACCTACAGATCCATCAAGAACTTCGCAAGGCGTTTTCAACAAACAATGTCACGAAAACGTTGGAGTGGCGAACTCATGTCAGTCCTCATTTCGATTTTCTGTCCTGTTTCCCTTTCATCGAGCTTATGATATCCTTGTGACCTTAACAGCAATTAAAACAGTTGGGTTATCTCTTACAAGAGAACGAAGCCCTTCTCGAGGATGCTCTTACCGCCGACGTATGTCTTTTCTCAATCATCATTCGGGCATCTTCTATTCACCAACCACTTGTTCTGTATTAGTTGGGTCGCCCAAAGGCCGAAAGTCAAATTGACGAGCTTGTCGCAACCCGACGCGATGTCTTGAACGCACTCAGTAATGTCAAGTCCTGGTCCAGGCCCCACAGAGTCAAGACCGATCTCACTTGGCTGGTCACGAGCCCAAAGACGTATCATGAACCAAAGGGTTTGGTCTTAATCATCGGGGCTTGGAAGTGGGTCAAATCAGACAACGTTTTCATTTTTTTATAGAAGCTATGCTCTTCACATTTCTGCAGCCTATGACTGAGGCATATGATCCCGCATTCTTCTTCTTGTTCAACTAGTTATCCGATCGCATTGGTATTGGGTCCTCTAGTTGGTGCGATTGCTGGTGGAAACGCAGCAATCCTCAAGCTCTCGGAGAATGCTCCGTCGACGGCTTCTCTCCTTGGCAAGCTCATCCCACAGTACATGGATAACCGTCACATTCGTGTTATCAACGGGGGCGTTGAGCAAGTCACTGCTCTCCTCGATCTCCGCTTCGATCACATCTTCTTCACCGGCTCTACCAGTATTGGAAAAATCGTGGCCAAGAAAGCCGCCGAGAACTTGACCCCAGTCACTCTTGAATTAGGCGGCAAATGCCCAGCAATTGTCTTTGACGATGCTGACTTCAAGGTCGCTGGCCGACGATTGATCTGGGCTAAAGCTGTAAATGCCGGACAGGTGCGCGCCCAAAGACCGTTGGACCCTCTCCATCGCTCGCTAAACGCGCAGTCTCTCCAAGAAACGTCAACAGTAACTGATCGATTCCGTCTTCCAGACCTGCATCGCACCCGATTATATCCTGGTGTCGAAGAAGAATGAAGCAAAATTAATTGAGAGCCTGAAGCAAGCTATTCGCGAATTCTATCCCGCCAAAACAATTACGGCCCATCCTCCCTTCGACACAGCGGCCAGCAGTGGAGCAAAGCCAGACTCAATCAATCCAGAAACTTTGAAAGCGAGTGATAATCAATTTTGCAAGATTGTCAACTTGAAGCAATTTCACCGACTGACTAATCTTTTGCGAGAAACCCGCGGAGAGATAAATACGTTGGATGGCACTAGCCAATTGGACATAACCTCCTCCGATGTCAACGAGTTAAAAATCCCATTGACCTTGGTGAGAAATGTGACCAGGGATGATGCTCTCATGCAAGAAGAGATATTTGGTCCGATCCTACCTATCATCACCTATGATAACGAATCGGAGATGGCGGAAGTCTTGCGAGCCGTTTCGAACTCTGAACCTTTGGCTATCTACGTCTTCACGCAGGCTTCGCCTAACTTTGAATTTGGTTAGTTGACTCTGTTTGTCCGATGACTTGGTCAATAATTTCATTTTTGGCTTCTACCGAATTCATCATCTCACCCAATACACTTCAAAACTTGAACTTACATTGGAACAGTGAGACAAAACACAAAGTCTGGACAGATAATTCAGAATGATCTCTTGATCCAATTCGTAATTCCTGGCTTGCCGTTCGGTGGAATCGGTCAATCAGTTGAGTTTATCGATGTCTCACTTACCTCCTTCTGTAACCAGAATCAGATTGTGTTTATGATGTATATAGAGCTGAACTCCATTCAAACTTTAGGGCATGGGCAATTATCATGGATATCATTCCTTCCTCACCTTCACATACGAGCGAGCATCAGCCAATCTTTCACCTTGGGCTGACTTTCTCTTCGCTTGTCGTTATCCTCCTTATACCTCATTCAAGTCGAAACTTTTCTCACTCATCATGGGCCCATCTCAGATTAGCGGAAAGGCTGTAATAGTGTCACCCCCT